TGTTTCAAGGAACCCACATAAAGGTGGAAGGGGACATAGGGATGCCACTCATCAGGAGAGAGCCTGTCTACTATGCTTGAAGACTGCTGGGATTAAGCTATGCATGGCTCTAAGTTACTCTGCACTATGTAAAAACAATGGCTTTCAGGCTGTATGTTGCTCAGGTAACTATTTTACAAGCAGAATTTGGTTCCATGTTGAGTGCAGAGGCAAAAGCAAATGGCTCTGTATCTCACTGTACACCCAGACACCACCTGTCCAGCACGACCGTGAGGTACAGAGTAATAAGTGGTTCTTAAAGTAGAAAGGCAGCTGCCTGTAAACTTTCCAAAGTAGACTGGGAACGCATGAACAGGGTGCGGTAAACCATGTCAGAGCCAGGCGGAGATGGTGCATGCCATTAATCCCAGCACTTGGGAGGCAGAGGCATGCTTATCTCAGTGAGTTCAAGGCCAACCTGGTCTACAAAGTGAGTTCCATAACAGCCAGGACTGTTATACAGAGAAACCCTGTCTCAGAGAACAAAAAACAAACAAAAAAGAAGTTTAAGGTCACCCTCTGTTGCATAAGGAGTTTAAAGCCAGCTTGAACTACATGAAAATTTATCTTAAAGAAAACAAAAAACAAAAAACCAACTAAGCATGTCAGAAAAAAAAAAAAAAAAACAAACCAGGTTTGAGAACTTATCAGACACACCAGACAATTATGTAAAATCTGTTCTACATCCCTCATGGGTATTATTAACTCTGAATCTTTTTACATCACTCAGGACACAAATGGACCCATTGGATTTCATGACACAGAAGTCAATAGTTTCTTTCACCAACAAAAATTACTAAGTTTGGCCTTCATGTGAGTGTGATACACAGAACTAAACACAGAGACATATTAGAGTTGGATATGTGTTTTAAAGAAAATTATCAGGTCAAAGACCTATTTTTGGTATGGGGAGGGGGAACAAATACTTGAATTGAGAGTCTCCTAGCAGAAGAAGTGAGTGATTCTGAGGTAGGAGAGGGTGCCCATGTGTCTTGAGAGCAAAGAATGATGAGGAGAATGGAAGTGCTAAAGTTAGGGACATGCCAGGTCAAGTTCAAGATTAGGACAGTGAATTGGAGCTGTACCTCCATTGAGAGAGAGAGAGAGAGAGAGTGCCTCTCTATCCTACACAAAACTGTGGGTTCGATCCCTGCCCAGCATAAGCCATGCACAGTGGTCCATGCATGTAATGCCAAGCACTGTAGAAGTGAAGGCATGAGGATTCGAAGTTTAAAGTAGCTCTCTGCTTTATGAGTTTGAAGCCAGTTTGGACTACATGAAAATTTATCTTAAAAACAAAGCTCAGGTTAATGATAATGATCAAGTGAGGCTTTGTTAGCCCTTTAGATTACATGCCACATACGATGGGGACTACCTCTGGGGTGGTTGAGAGTTGAAAATATGCTTGAAATATATATTATATATATTCTAGAAGACTCTCCTGACTCCGATGTGAACAATGAATTGGAGAGGGTAGGGCTAAGAGCCAAGGCAGGTGGCCACCTGGAGGCTATTGTGCTGAACAAGACAAGAGATTAAAAAAAAAAAAAAAAAAAAAAAAAAAGCATACAATGATAATTTTGATGCTAAGAATATCACTCAAAGTTAGGATTTGTTAATGGTTTAAAAGATGTCAAGGTGGATAGTCAAGCAGTAAGGCTTGGTAATTGAGTTCTGGGGAGAAGTAACAGCTTTAAATAATTTGAGAAGCTACTGGCAATTAAGCCACAGAACTGATGACATCATCCAGAGAATAAAGGGAGTTCTAGAAGCATCTGAGAGGACTAAGATATCAGTAGCTTCAACCTAAAGGCTGGGAAAAGAAGGCTCCAAGCAAAGGAAATGTCAGGAAGAATCTACAAGGTAAGACAACAGAGTTACTAGTATTCCAGGAAACAAGAAAGATCCATAAGACAGAAGGAAATGTGTTCAATGAAGGGTTTGCCATTGCTGTGGGCAGGACAGAGATCATTGTGACCTCAACAAAAGTGCTTCAGCTAAGGTGACAGAACGAACTCTTAATTTAACTAGTTCTCAAGAGGAGAGAAAAGGAGGACACTGAAATCATCGACTTTTAGACAACTATTTTGAAGATTTTTTTTTTTTGTCCTCTTTAAGGCAAGCAGAAAAATTAGTGGTGCCTGGAAGGCAAGAGGCATGGGGCTAGGGAAGACTTGTGATCATTTTCAGGTGGAGTAATCATGTAATGTTTCTGTATCACTGGGAAAAGTCCAAGACCACATGGTGCAGCAGAGAGGGTAGATGGGGGCTGGTGAGATGGTCCAGCATGTAAAGTGACTGTTGCATAAGCCTGATAACCAAATCCAAATTCAATTCCCAGAACTCACAGAAAAGTAGACCCTATAAAGTTGTCCTTTGAGTCAACTCTAGCACCATGGCACACATGCACACCCACATGTAAGCATCATTAGCATACACACATACTAATTTTTTTAAATGTTAAAGTTAGACGAGATCCAACAGATAGAAGGCAGAATGGCCATTAATAGATGTCAAAGACAGTAACTGGAGAGAGGGGTTATTTATAGGTGCTGCATTGTGGTAGACTTCAGAGTGCATATGAGTGTTGTGTGAGTGTACACATGTGTGCTCAAGGAGGGCAGATCAGGATAGCTGGGTGTCCTGTTTTACCATTCTCCACCTTATTCCTCTGAGAGGGGGAGCCTTTGTCTGTTTCCTCCTCCTGCTCCCTGTGCTGGGTGGGGTTTACAAGAAGTTACAGCCACACTCATGACAGAGTGCTGAGATCTGAACTCAGGTCCCCATGTTCACATAACAAACCCTCTTACCCACTCTCCAATCTCAGTTGTATGCTTTTTTGCTTAGGTGATGTTGAAGGCGATATAGGGAAATAAGGGAATGGACAATGATTTCTGAAGCATTTAGAAATGTAGTTTGATACTGCTAAGCAGAATGGGGAGGCCACTTAAAGTTCAAAGGTCATGAATTTAGAGACCAATCCCCATAGTTGTCTACCTTCCTCTTGTAACATCTGTCTACCACCAGAGAGAATTGGGTAAGCATGACAGCATATACCTGTAATCCCAGTACTAAGAGGATTCAAAAGGATCCTAGTCAAGGCCAGCCTGGGACTTTCAGAGAGCAAGCACATCATTAAAATATGGCATAGTGGCAACAGTGGGTCACAGAAGATAAGGTAAGAAGAGAAAGAACATGAAGGTGTGGTGGCATATTGTCAAAGTTCCATCGAATCAGTGGGCTAAAGGTGCTTTCTGAGGTGAATTTTGGTAAAAAGGAGGCACAGAGTTGAGTTCAAAATATTGGGCTTAGCTGGAAAGCGTACTTAAAAAAAATGATTCCAAAATGGCACAGCAATTGAGGGGAGCTAGGGGGAGGGAGAGTCCCAGATGGGGTGAAAGCCAAAATCTTCCCAATGAGGCTATCAGAATGAGAAGTTCAGTGGCTCACAACTAGAGATGCTGAGACACCCCCCCCCACACACACACACAGGACCAGGATGGGGTACACTAGAGAAGGTTTTGTTTTTTTGTTTTTTTTTTTTTGTTTTTTTTGTTTGTTTTTTGCTTGTTTGTTTATTTGTTTGAGGCAGGGTTTCCTTGTGTAGTCTTAGCGGTCCTGGAACTTGCTCTTTAGACCAGGCTGGCCTTGAACTGAGAGATCTGCCTATCTTTGCCTCCTGAGGGCTGTGATTGAAGGTGTGCACTGACATTGCCTGGCACACTGGAGCAGTTCTAATGGAGAAGAGACCTACGGAAGTAAAGGATGCTGGGCGGTGGTGGTGCATGCCTTTAATCACAGCACTCAGAGTCTGTTGGCTCATGGGAGTGATTCATTAGAAAAGGAGAAATGGATGTTGTAGAGGAGTGGAGACAGATGAAAGGAGAGTTCTTCAGAGGACAAGTGCAATCTGAGGCATGTGAGGAGAAGGTGGCTTTCATCAACACAAGCACAATTCTCTCCTGGAAGCTGAGAAAAGGCAGACAGAGTAACCAGTCTTGGGAGGCCAATAACCCGGTGCTAAGAAAGTAAGTGAGTTTGTGATCAATAGTTCTATTCTTGATAAAATAGGAGGTAATGTCTCCCATTGGGTGAAGTATGAAAGTGTGTAAGTTGAAGGAGAAGAAGGAATGCATTTAGTCACATCAGAGCCTGAGGAAACCAACTTACCCAGTGAATACAAGTCTGCCAGAAAATACCCAGCTCCAATTAAAATTTGTAGTAATGAGATTGAAATAAAACCAATCAGTACAATAATGCAATTTTGTATAGAAAGAGTCAACTACGAGGGGTATATAGACTGCTGGCATTTAGCTGGGTTGGAGATATGTCAGGAGAATAGTGGCTGGCCAGAGCTAGGGAGGTGGTAGGATATGTATGTGGTAAAAGGGTGACATGGGATCACAGGCCCAATGCAAACAGTCTCCAAGGAGAGCTTGGAAGTGAGTTTAAGTGGTAAAAAGCAAGTGTGTTTCCGTTAAAGTTCCACCAACCAGCCTTGCTACCTTGTAAGTTAGAGGAGGACTGACCGGATGATGAACTCCTTCAGTTCTTGTATGTCCCCTGAATGTTTGTTTCATTTCCCCTGGGCCCAAGCCCCAAAAGCTAGCAAAACATCCTCCCTTCGAGGATCTGTCGTTGCAGAGTAAGACAAATTATATAACAACAAAATCAACTGCAAATAATGACTAATCGAGGTGCAGCCTAGCAGGATAGACTGGTGTGCTGAATTGAAGGATTTGGAAGGGCTTTCGGTGCTAGGGTGCTTGCCTAGTGAGGCACCAGGTTCAATCCTGAAAATGATGAGGTGGTTTCTGTCACTATTAGAGTGTCAATTTCCCATTGAAGTTCCTTGTAAAGAGCTGGCTGCAAAGCAGCAGGTAGACAAAAGAGTCAAGTTCCTTTCTTGGATTTCTGAGTTCTGGGTGGATAGAATTCAGCAGGGTGGGGGCGAAACCTACCGCTCAATGAAGCCATCTGGAGGTGCGGTATGTATCTGGCCATCAAAGATGGGGAGGTCGTAATCACCGCGTTGGGAAGCAAATCGGCTCTTTCATCTGCGTGTACCTGAAGTGACTGGAGTGGCTCACCGCCCTTGCGGGCGTGGAATGGCTCACTGCCCTTGCGGGACTGGGGGGAATCGTTGCCCTTGTGGGGCTGGAGGGAATCGCTGGTCTTGCGGGACTGGGGAGGATCGCTGGTCTTGCGGGACTGGGGAGGATCGCTGGAGCTGCGGGATTGGAGAGGATAGCTGGTGCTGCGGGACTGGGGAGGATCGCTGCTCTTTCGAGATTGGAGGGATTCACTGCCCTTGCGGGACTTGGAGGATGTGGAGGCCTCATGGGATTTGTGAGTCTTAGAGTGTTTACTGGACTCAGCGAACACTTCATACTCATTGTCCTCTTCTTGTCTTTCTTCCTCCTCATCCCCTTTGACCTCTTCACTCCCAAGCTCGTTCTTCACCTCCAGGAGCCTGAGCACAAGGGGTTTCGGGTGGAGTTCAGAGTTTGTGTGTGTTTCTGTCGTGTCTTGCCCACCAGTCACCCCAGACAACACGGGTGAACCCAAGAAGTCTCCTTCCTCCATTCCAGTTAGAAGCTCCGGGAACCCAGGGTGTGAACTCTCCGCCTGCCGCCCAAGCGCAGTTCGCTGCGTGCACAGATTGGGGCCGCCCGCGCCCCGCCCCGGACAGACTCAGCTCCACCCACGAGCCGTCTAGCCCCGCCCCGCCCATCATCTCAGTGCCTACGCTGTACGGTTGCTATGGAGACGCATTGCTCTCCTAGGGTGGGGCTCTGTTAGGCGCAGCACAGAAGACAGAGCACCTGGAGAGAGGGTGTCTTCCCCTGCTTCCGGTGTGAAGGGAGAAGACTTAAAACAACTCACTGAACCTGCCTGCTTCTTGACTGCTTAGGTTTCCGAGGTTTCCCCCATACTCTTTACAAAGCCTGGGAATGGATAGATTTTTAAGATCCCCCTCCCCCCAATCTCCCTGCTAAGGCAATCAGTTATCGGTTTCTAGTAAAAGTTCAGCAGTCAGAATGAAGGCTGAGAATGGGGCGAACATTACGAGCTTAATATTCATCAGAATAGTTTAGATCACTAACCTTTCCTTTACCTGAAACTCTGCACACCGTCACAATGAAACACTTGGACGAAACACTTCTAAAGACCTGTATTCAAGGACATCTTGTGTATCATTATGGGCTTCACTATCAAAAAGTGAGACTAGGAGTTAGACTGCTAGCAGACAGAGGGGATGTGATTAGCTAACAAAGGTGGCAAACTTCTAAGTTGGCCAGCTTCCTCACCCCCCTGACCTGAGACAAAAGCTGTGTAACTTAAAGGCTTTGTAGACTTGTCTTCCACTTGCAGGCCCCTGCTGGTGGACCACTGGCTTAAATCCTGCTCAAGACATGCCAGTCAACCATCCCCACTTTCTTCCAACTGACCAACCCTAAATTAAGGGAGGACAACTCTTCAGAGACTTTGAAACCCCACCTCTCACGAAGAGACTGGACTGTCTGCTTCCTCTGCTTTGCAGAGGGTCTTTTCCTTGTATGTCTGCGCATGTGTGTTTTCTCATCCCCAATAAACGCTGTCGTTCAACTGACGATTCTGCTGCTATCTACTGCGCTGCAGGTTTTCCTGCCTTTTAATTTAACTGGCAGCGAAAACAACCAAGGACCCTAGATTGTATCATTTCAAAACCCCTAGCCTGTATCACCACAAATGTTATTAATCATATAGTCTTGTGAGCAGCACGATTGTGAACATCGACTTATTCATAGTGATATTTCTGATACATACCAAATACTTTGTAGCCTTGTTTGTGTCTTTCACCCCCTCCTCTTAACCCTTCCTCCAACTTCTTTTGTTCTTGAAACAAGTTCACTCTGCAGTTCAAGCTGGTCTGTAACTATTTAGTCCAGGTTAGTCTCAAACTCTTGTACTTGTGAAGATTCTCTTGCCACAGTCTCTGAAGACATAGGTTATAGGTGTGTTGTTGGCACACGCCTTTAGTCCCAGCACTCAGGAGGCAGAGGCAGGCGGATCTCTGTGAGTTCAAGACCAGCTTGGGCTACAGAGCTAATTCCAGGACAGGCTCCAAAACAATACAGAGAAACCCTGTTTTTGAAAAAAAAAAAAAAAATTTCCTTGAGCTAGAATCATAGGCAGTTAGCAGCTGCCTGTAAGAGCAGTACCCCTCTAAGTGATGAGCCAGCTTTTCAGTGCCATCTCTCTCTCTCTCTCTCTCTCTCTCTCTGTGTGTGTGTGTGTGTGTGTGTGTGTGTAAGCCTGGAAAGTGCTCATCTCATTTTTGTGGCATCCATAATAGTATGGAAAAGAAGGGCAGAATTGGTGGAGTCTCAGTCTTGTATTTATCTTCAAGGGAAGGAACTAAAATGTTAAGGAATAAATCTTCTGTCAACTGTACAGTTAAAGACATCTTTTACACAATACTGGGGGTGGGTACTTAAATTTACTGTCCTATAGAAAAAATAAAACGTTTTTGTGGAAAATATCTGGAATAGAACTAGGAGACTCATTCTAAGATGTGCAGGATAGCTTTGGAGCCTATCCTGGAACTCTCTCTCTCTCTGTAGACCAGGCTGGCCTCAAACTTGCAAAGATCCACCTGTCTCTTCCTCCCGAGTGCTGGGATTAAAGGTGAGAGCCACCACTGCCCAGCCTCAAACTCATTGTTTTCTTTTATTTTGTTTTTTTAGAGACAGGGTTTCTCTGTTGCTTTTGAGCCTGGCCTGAGACTCACTCTGTAGACCAGGCAGGCTGGCCTCTCAGAGAGATCCACCTGTCTCTGCCTCCCTAGTGCTTGTATTAAAGGTGTGCGCCACCACTGCCCAGCCTCCACCTCAGTTTTAAAGATCTGATTACATGTGTGGGGCTGGAGTAGATAATGTAGTACTTTTGGCCACACATGGCCCTGCAAAGACAGTTCAGTGCGTAAGAGCATTTACTGTACTTGCAGACAACCTGGTTTTGGTTCCCAGCACTTATATGGTGGCTTACCACTATCCATAATTCAATTTCCACGGGATTCAACACTTCAGACCTCCTGCATACATATGGAATGCATACCACACCCAAGCATACACACACATACATAAAGATTTCTTAAAGACCACTTGCTGCCCTTGCAGAGAACTCACACGGTAGCTCACAGCAGATTATGCTCCAGTTCCAGTGAATCTGGCACCCTCTTGTGGCCTCTGCAGGAACTAGGTGCACGTACAAGCAGAGAAAACATTCAACACATAAAGATTTGATTACATTTTTATTTATGTACTGTGTGTGCATGGGTAGCTGCCACACATGTGGAGGTCAGAGGATGCCTTGGGGACATCCTACCTTCCACCGTGTGAGTCCTAGGGATGGAAATCAGGCTGTCTTGAGACGTCCCAACAGCTCCAAACTCATTTTAGTATGAACATGCAGTATTGTGCAATGACTTTTCAAGGGCTTCCAAAACTTTTAGAAAAGGAAAAACAAAGCTACTTTTAGGCATTTTTAAAAACTCAGCCTGGGCCTGGAGGGATTGACTCTGTGGTTAAAAGCAACTGCCTGCTCTTCTGGAGGCCTGGGATTTGATTCCCAGCACCCACCTGGCTGCTCACAACTGTCTGTAACTCTAGTTCCAAGGGATCTGACCCCCTCTTCTAGGCACTGCACTCACATGGTGCACAGATATACTTGCCATACACATAAAGTAATTTTAAATTATATAGGCAAAATATTTGATTTAATTTTTTTTAAAAAACTTAAATCAACGCAATCAGGAAGAGTTAGGTAAACTCAGGAGACAAGATAGAAATTAAGAAGTAAAACTGAGAGGCAAGGTGTTCCCTACATCAGCAAAAACAGTTCACCACTAAGTGAATTGCTTTTAAGTACAGAGATCACATCACAGAAGGGAAGCCCCAAGGGCTGTACAAGACTGCAAGAGGGTTTGCAGTGCGGGTGTCCGTGACAGAGGGTAAGCTCATACAAGAGGCCCTGGGTTCATTCTCAACACTCTACCCTCCCTCCATACTCCCCTGAAAAAACAAAACAAAAACAAACAAACAAAAAACAGAGGATAGAGGGTCTATTACAGAAGACTACAACTATTCTACCCTGGTCTTAAGATCCTCTGAATGTGGATATGTGACTAGGTACTACTATACCTCCAGAGATACATGCTCAACAGATAACTCTGGCATGTGGCAGCTTCCAGGAGAATCTGTTCACAGAAAGAGAATAGTAATGACATGCACAAAATTAACTCTGGCCCTATCATAGTCACATATTGGCAATGATTTCTATGCATTGACCCCATGGATCTGATTCTGGCTCTCCCGAGGAAAATTAATTTTTTTACCCATTTTTTTATATTCTCCCTCCTTCCAATACATCAAAAATTCCAGTTAACTCTTGAATATATATATATATGTATATATATTCATTCTTTATGGCTATGTAGCCCAGGTTGACCTCAAACTTGAAATTCTCCTGCCTCTGCTTCCAGACTGCTGAGATTATAGACATGAGTCTTTACATCCAACTATCTTTTGTATTATTTTGTTTTTGCTTTTTGAGACAGGGCCTCTCTACATAGCCCTGGCTATCCTGGGACTCACAGAGATCTGCCTGCCTCTGACTCCTGAGCATTGGGATTAAAGATATATGCAGCCACCACCACACCTGCCCCCAACTACTTTTTTTTTTTTTTTTTTTTTTTTTTGAGACAGGGTCTCATGTATCCCAAGTTGAATACAGTCTATGTAGCAAAGGATGACCTTGAACTTTTTAAATTTTTATTTTATATGCATTGTTGCTTTGCCATGGGTGTCAGGTCGCCAGGAACTGGGATTACAGTTGTGAGCTGCCACGTGGGTGCTGGAATTGAACCCAGGTACTCTGAAAAAGCAGTCAGTGCCCTTAACCACTGAGCCATCTCTCCAGCCTTGAACTTCTAATCCTCCTGTCTCCATTTGTCTTGAGAACACAGGTATGAACCCCACACCTGGTTATGTACTGAAAATCAAACTCTGAGATTTACACATATTAAACAGGCACACTACCAATGGCCTTGTCCTTTTGATAGCCAATCACCATCCTGGTACAAGATATCAACTCCAATGTTCTCCTGACTAGTGTTCTGCTTCTGCCTCTGCCCACATCCAAATGTGGTACCCAGAGTCTTTAGGAAGGCTCCAACATTATACTGTAAGGTGTTCAGCTTTCTCAGGCCCTATGTGGATTTACATCTATACACTGACCACCAAATGCAGTTGGACTTTCTTGTGGGATTGCCAGCTCCCAATTAATGACATGGAGACTTTTAATTATGAAAGCTTGGCCTTTAGCTTCTGCTTGTTCCCAACTAGCTCTTACAACTTAAATTAACCTGCTTCTGTTAATCTGTGTTCTGCCACATGGCTCTTTACCTCTCCTCCATTCTGTACATCTGACTTCCTCAGTGTCTCACTGGCACATAAAGTCAAATAAATTATTTTTTTAAATGGCTTAATATAAATTTATTGCTATTGATGAACCACACTTGGACTTCGGGGGTGGGATGGGGTACAGGAGACTTGCTGTGTAAGCACAAGTATGTGGGTCTGATCCATGGAAACCACAAAAAACAAAGGAGCATATGCGATTTATGGCTCCTGAGAGAGGACACCTTTCTGACCTTGCATGTGCACACACGAACATACACACACAAAAAAAGAGAAGCCACGGGTGGGATGAAGGCTTGCTAATACAAACTTTACTTTTGAGTTAAAATCCTCATTCAAGTGTGTGGGTAGAGCACCATGGTAGATGGTGTGCTTAATATATGTGAGGCCCAGGATTCAACTCTCAGCACCCCAACAACAGACAAAAATCCACACTTCTCTTGCACAAAATGATTAAAAAATTTGAAGTTAAAAATCTAAAAATTGGCCTTTCCGGCGGTGACGACCTCCCTACGAGAACATGCCTCTCACAAAGGATCTCCTTCATCCCTCTCCAGAAGAGGAAAAGAGGAAACACAAGAAAAAGCGCCTGGTGCAGAGCCCCAGTTCCCACTTTATGGATGTGAAATGCCCAGGATGCTATAAAATCACCACGGTCTTTAGCCATGCACAAACGGTAGTCTTGCGTGTTGGCTGCTCCACTGTCCTCTGTCAGCCCACAGGCGGAAAAGCGCGGCTGACAGAAGGATGCTCCTTCAGGAGGAAGCAGCACTGAACTGCACCTGATTCAAGCTGAGTGGGAACCGTCCCAATAAACACATTTTGGATATATAGTGTCTGTCTTGTTTAACTGGTAGGAAGTTGTGCCTCAAGTATTCAAGGGCAACCAGAAGAGTGGTTCTTTTGGGTCAAGTAAGTGGCCAAGAGTTCATTTCAGGCATTTGTATCTGGGTTCATCTGGTGAATCCTAGACCATAGTTTAAAGCTGGTGATACTGTAAAAAAAAAAAAAAAAAAAAAATCTAAAAATTGAAAAAGCAATCTTAATGAGTTAGCATTGTCTTCGTATATACAATTTGCATTGAGAGAATAGGAAATGGTTTATTTTTTATTGAAAGTGGAAACCTTTGGCATACGCCTGCCATTCAGCCCTCTTTGATGACGGTTTGATGGTGACTTGAGTCCTGGGCCAGGTCCTAGTCACTTCTACATATTTGCGGCCAGATGTGCAATCAGGTCTCTGGCATCTTGCATGGTGGAGGGGATCTCTGAGCCGTTCTCAGTCACCTGAGTTCCAAACAAGAACAACTTCCGGTCATTCCCCACTTCAGACAGTGCCAAAGCATCGTGGATATCTGTAATGTGATAGGCGTCTTCAAGGTCCTTCACCCACAGTGGAAAAAGAATAGGACATGTTGGTTAGTCTGCAATTTTCTTGAATACAAATACTTTCACCATTTTAATACAGAAAATATTGAGACTTCGTTTTTATGACCCCAGTGTTGATATGAATAGTATTTTTATCAGAATTAGCCAGTGTTTCAGATATTAAAAAAGTGTTTTCTGCCCCCTGCCAAAAGATCTTAATTTTTCTTTTCTATCATTCCTTCCTTCCTTCCTTTCTTTTTGTTTTGTTTTGTTTTTTGAGATGGGGTTTCTCTGTGTAACAGTCCTAGCTGTCCTGGAACTTGCTTTGTAGATCAGGCTGGCCTTAAGCTCACAGAGATTCACCTGCCTCTGCCTCTGAGGGCTGGGAGTAAAGGCTTGCACCATCATGCATTTGATTGCTTTTAGTGCACTACTTTGAGAAATTCATACATGCATACAATGTGTTTTGATCATATTCCCTCCTTACTCTTCCCCAGTTCCTCTCTACCCATCCTCAGCCCTGTGTCCCCCTCAATTATATGTTGCTTTTTCTTTTTATAACTCACTGAATCCAATTTGTGTTGCCTGTATGCTCTTGGGTATGAATGAGGCCATTCAATGGAGGATGGTCAACCTACATAGGCCGCATCTTTAAAGAAAACTGACTTTCCCTAGCCCAGAAGTCATCCATGGCTCCTCAGTAGGGGTGGGAGCTCATGAACCCTTACCTGCTCCATGTTGAAATGTTGGCTGCTTGATCTTGTACATGTCTTATACAGGCCACCACAGCTGCCATGATTACACAAGTACAGCTTCCTCTCATGTCCAGAAGACACTGTTTAGTTTGGTCCTCTCTGGTCTCTGGCTCTTAGTCATCTCTTCCACCTTGCCTGTTTTGTTCCCTGAACCTTAGTAGGAGGAGTTTGTTGGCTTTCTTAAAGAGTCGTCATACCATGAAACTTAGGCTGACCTTAAACTTTCGATCCTTCTGCCTTAGCCACACAAGTGCTGGCATTATAAGGGTATGCCAGCTACTTACCGATTACTTTTTGTCCATATCATATTTTACTGATTTTCACACTTATCACTGGGAGTTCTTTGTTGCTATCATTATTTATTCTGATCAAAAATTTATATCAAACTTGTGGGGTGTATGGAGGTCCACATGTGTCATCTTAGCTCCACAGCCCTAGAAGTCTGTGAGGCTTTCCCTGTTGGGCCATGTATGATAACTAGGTGTTGGTAATCACAATATGTTTCCTATTTGAAACCTGAATTCATTTAGTCATGGAGCCCTTACTGACGTCTGTAATAAAGGATACAGCAATATATAGATGATGTCTCAGGTTAATAAATCCACTGAAGAAATTGTAAAGGAAAATGTAGGGAAGAGACAGTATGGGTAGAAATCAAGGTTATAACCAAAGGATAAAGCTAATAAGACAATGTTTTTTTTTTTATATATAGGTTTTCCCCTATTTAGCACAGGTTTGCCTTATACTTGCAATCCTTCTGCCTCTGCTTCCCTGCTGAGATTACAGGCATGAGCCTCCATGCCCAACTAAGATAACTTTTTGAAAACCCTGATATTGACCTAGTGATTGATCTAAAAGCACAGACTAAATACTTTGACAAAAGGATATAAACAAGTATGTATTAAATTAGAATAGTTAAGCCTTATAGAACCAAAGGATGCTCAATCATTCCACAAGGACACTTGATCAACTATGTCTATAGCAGCATTATTTATAATAGCCAGAACCTGGAAACAACCTAGATGCCCCTCAATCAAAGAAAATGTGGCACATTTATACACTGGAGTACTACTAAGCTGTTAAATACATCAGGAAATTTGAAGGCAAATGGATGAAACTAGAAAAAAAATCATCCTGAATGAGGTAATCCAGACACTGAAAGAAAACATGGTATCTACTCATTCCTAAATGGGTATTAGCTGTAACGTAAAGGATAAACAGGCTACAATCCACAGCCCTAGAGAGGCTCGGTAACGGGGGCCCAAAGAGAGGTGGGCACACATGGATTTCCCTAGGAGGGGGAAATAGAAGAGATCTCCTGGGTGGATGGAAGGGTGGCAGTGGCGATGGGAACATGAGGGTTTGGGTTAGAGGGAAAGATGGAGGGCAAGTAACGAAAGAGACATCTTGATGGGGGGGGGGTGGCATTTTGGGGTCAGGTAGAAGCCTGGTACAAGGGAAACTCCCAGGGATGACTCTAAGACTCCTAGCAAAGGTGGATGGGTAACCTGAACTGGCCATCTTCTGTAATCAGATTGGTAACTACCCCAATTGTCATCAAAGAGCCTTCATCCAGTGACTGATGAAAACAGATGCAGAGCTCTAGGAATCCTTGAAGAGAGGGAGGGAGGATTACAGGAGCCAAGAATGGGGTGGAGGTATGGGAGGGTGAGGGAAAGTTTTTCAAGGTCATCATGGGGGAACCCACAGAGACAGCCGACCTGGGCTCACAGGAGCTCACAGACTCTGGACCAATGGCTAGGGAGCCTGCATGGGACTGACCTAGGCCTTCTGCATATGTCTGACAGTAGCTTGATCTACTGGTGGGACTCCTAAGGGTGGAAGCAGGGCTGTCCCTAACGCTTTGGCTGACTTGCAGGAACCTATTCCTCATACTGGGTTACCTTGCCCAGCTTTAGTACGAGGAGAGGAGCTTGGCCCCACCTCAGCCAAGCTTTGAAGACACCCATGGGAGGCCTGCCCCTTTCTGAACATAAGTGGAGTGGATTGGGGAGCGGAGTGAGTGGGGAGAGGGAATGGGAGGAGGGCAGGGAAGGGAAACTTTGGTTGGGGTATAAAATAAATGAATAAATTTAATTTAAAAAATATCTAAGCCTTTTATCATTAAAGCAAATGTTTTCAATTTAACTGGGTATAGAAACATACTGAACACTCAGGAGGCAGACACAGGCAGATCTCTATGAGTTCAAGACCAGCCTGGTCTACAGAGTGACTCCCAGGACTATACAGAGCTATACAGAGAGGACTATGTAGAACTATGTCTCAAAAAAGGGGAGGGTAATCTCCAACATAAAAATAGAAACCATGAGCAAAGCAAAATGATAATCACTGAGATACTGAAGAAGATGTTAATGATGTATATAACTAACACAGTGGATTTTGCAAAAGATATTAATTGCCCTCATACCTCAAACAAAGAAAGGTAGAGGCCTTGGGCCCATTTTTGTGGTAAACAGTATGCCTTGCACAAAGGACTCTGGGTCTGATTCCCAACACTGAGAATTAGAGGTGAGGAAATAAGAGGAAACAGAATACCCACAGACTTAGGGCTCAATCAGCAATAAACACCTTCAAAATTCATAAGGATAATAAAAATCAACTTTAGTCTCACCACACTAGCAAACGGGACATTTTTGACACTAGCAAGTCCTGAGGAGGAAGTGGAGCTTCAGAAAGTGTCGCCCCCTGGTGGAAGAATAAACTAGTGCAACCGTGGAAAGCAATTTAGGAGTATCTAATAAAACTATTTGCAAATCCCAAAATCCATCGCACTTGAGAAAAGTGCATCCACATGTACAAGGCACACACATTTGGAAGCTCATGGCAACACTTAAGAGTAAACAATTGGGAATACTAAAAATGGCCAGCAACAAGAGAATGGCCAGGTTCCAGTCCATCAGAATGCTACACAGTTCAAATGTGTGTATAGGAGCTCTAAATCTTTTACAGTTCCCTCACTCCCTGGTAGGTGCTGAACCTGGGACCGCTCACATGCTAAGCATAGTCACTATTGTTAAGCCACATCTCTCAGGCCTTGAGTCTTTGTAGTTTTAAGTTACTTCACTTTGAAACAAAACCCAGGGGCTGGAGAGATGGCTCAAAGGTTAAGAACACTGACTATTCTTCCAGAGGTCCTGAGTTCAATTCCCAGCAACCATATCCAGTCATCTATAATGTGTTCTGATTCCTTCTTCTAGCCTGTAATTCAGGCTCGCAGGCAGAACACTGTATACATAATAAATAAGTCTTAAAAAGGAAAAGAAAAACAATCATTAACCTTTCTTTTTAAAATGCCAACACAATGTCAAAATGTGTTAGACCAACCTCTATCCTGGGTGCCAACCTAGGTTCCTGACAAAGTAAGATCAATCATAATTGTCTGCTTCTGTGAACATCCCTCCCACAGGAGACAGAAGGGAAAGGCAGGCATTGAGCTCTTCTTGGTTGACAAACCCAGAAATTGAGAGAATTAGTGTTACAATGTTTGAAAACCTAAAGTGTGTGTGTGTGTGTGTGTGTGTGTGTGGTCATCATCATTGTCGTCGTCATCATAATAGTACACATAACAAAATTTACCATTTTAGTGTACAATTCAGTAAAATTAAATACATTCACAGTGCAAACTCTTGCTAGAATGAGTTCTATCTGTGCTAAACCAACTCCTCTTTCCCCCCTCCTGTAACCCTGGACAGCCACAGTTCCACTTGAACCTCTGCAGATTTGACAACTCTGGGTAGAAGCTCGATACACTGAATCACACATAGCATCTGTCCTTCTGTGGCTAGCTTATTCATTTGGGATAGTGTCCGTAGTAAGGTTCATCCATGTGGTTGCATACGGTAGACCTTCCTTCCCTCTGAAAACTAAAGTGACATGCTGTATGGACACAACACATTTTCTTATGCACTCAGCAGGCAGACAGGTTGGTGACTTCTAACCCATGGCTATTGTAATAATACTGCTGCCATGAACGTCAGTGTATAAAAACAGATTGGCTCCCTGATTTCATTATTTGGAGTATTATTTTTTTTAAAAAAAAGTATAATTGCTGCATTATACAGGAATTCTGTTTTTCTTTTCTTTTGTTTTCTTTCCTTTCTTTTTCTTTCTTTCTGTTTTTTTCATAGTAGCTTACACTTCCAAGGACAGTTTCTCCATGGATGTTTATTGCTTTAAATGCAAGCACCAAATAAATTCAGTCAACTGTAACTGATCTAACACAAAACTCTTTCTTTATACATAGAAGCCACTAAAATATTGTGTTGAATTAAATCAACAATCACTATTAGTTTATCGAAATAAGCTCAATGCACATGATTCAATTCCATTTCTCCATGAGGCAACAGACCAGACAATTCAAGTAGTTAAAGGACAGAAGATAATTGTATTTCCATTGAGAGCGTGTATAATCCAGGAGACCTAATAAATCGAATAGACAGTATATTTTTGATTATCTACCTAATAAAATCAGACTGTGCTAATAATGAAACTATCTCGTGGAGCTTACATTAACAGTTTTGGCAGAGGTAATCCTGAAAGCTAGATAAGATACTCTACCACAAAGCCACATCTAAACAGGTTTTTACCTGTTTGTTGGCAAACACGACCAGAGGGAGTGCTGGGTTTGGTTCAATTAGCTGATGAAGGTATTTCTTGGCTTCTGGTAACCGTTTGTGGTCAGCCGAATCCACCACAAAGATCAGCAGCCATCCCTTGGGCAGGTACATATCCCAGTAGGAGCGGAATTGCTCACTGCCACCAACTGTGGAGAGGAAGAAGTCACACATTAATTAATTCATTAATTCAAATCACAGGCATATCCATCAAGGGGGCCTATAAGATCCACTGGTGGAGGAGCTCTGATAAATGCCACCAAGTTAGGCTGCAGCTGTGAGTGGCCAGAGTAATGTCACTGAGGAAATAGGTGGACAGTGTGAGTAATTGCAGAAAGGGACTCCCCAGCCTCCATCCCGAGCACCTGGTTATTAAACTACACATCATCCTAAAGTGTAGAAGAATCCCATCCTGTGTCATTTCTCTGAGGATTACAATGTCAATAGAGAATACTGCTTCTGGTTTAAGATGGATGCTAATAAGAAACAGAACCTACTCTCTAGGAACTCCATCTGCCTGTCTTCAGTGTGGATGAAAACTTCATTAAAACCTTGGGTAGGTGCCAGGCTGTGCTGCACTCTGTTGGAAGCCAGCGAGTGGAGGACACTGGTCTTCCCTGCTCCATCCAAGCCCAGTACTAGGATCTGCTTGCTGTTCTGTGAAATAAAAAAAATAAGTTCGTAAACTCATGCTGTTGGGGCTGTGTGTGGCTCCTGACAGCGTGTCTGACTGTTAGCATCTAATCAGAACCGTGGAATTGCTAACCAGATCAAAATCCTAACTATGAACACACACACACACACACACACACACACACACACACACTCCCACATGCATACAAACATATTAGAATCTTTGTGTTGTGCAGTGTCACAGATCTATGAATATCAGGACTAATTTCTACATATTTTCTTCCCTTTTCACTGTGTGTGTGTGTGTGTACATGCATATGGAGGTCAGAGGTCAGCTCTCATTAGCTGGTTTTCTCCTTCTACCTTGTGAGTCCTGGGGATCAAATTCAGGTTATCAGGCCCTAAAGCAACCACTCTACCTGCTGAGCCATCCCAGAACCCCATTTTCATCTTGAATTATCATCTATTGGCAAGTACACGAGAATGGTTTGTCTCCACCCAAAATGGAAGCATTAAGGTCTCATTATTTGTCTTGTATTAGCAGTTGGATAATCTGTCTATAAAACAAACAAAATACTATTTTTTTCTGAGACAGGGTCTCACTATATAACCCTGCTGACCCAGAACTCACTTTGTAGACCAGGCTGGACTCAAACTCATAGAGCTCTGACTACCTCTACCTCCTGAGTATTAAGATTAAAGGCTTGAGCCACTGTCACCTAGTTCTCTCTTATGTTTTGATGCAAGTATCATGATTAAGCAGGAAGGCTAAGGCTATAGAAATTGTCAAACCTGTCTCAATAACAAAAGAGTATTTGTTATAAAGTCTAACATTAAACCTAGGGACTTGGAAGGAAACTTCAAAAGCAGCTTTCTTCTAACATTCTAGCCTTAGAAATTTTTATCACAAATGATCAGAAAGGAGCTCAGGCCTTTAATTCCAGTGCTCAGAAGGCAGAGGTAGAACTCTGCAAGTTTGAAGCTAGCCTGGTCTACATAGTGAGTTCCATGGCAGCCAGAGCTACAATAGTGAGACCCTGTCTGGAAAAATAACAAACAAAAATTATCAGAAAGGAAGGTCCAGCATGAACACAGAAATAGTTCAGGGTGCTTAGAGACATGGTTTATATAATTTGAACAGTAATTATCTAATAACAAAACAACAACAACAACAACAAAAACAAATACTAAAACATTAGCACTTTTTGTTTAATGCCCTGGCTGTCCTGGAACTCATCAGGCTGGCCTTGGCCTTGAACTTATGAATCTACCTGCCTTTGCCTCAGAGAATTAAAGATGCAAACCACAACACCTGGTTCAAAAGGCAATCTGAAATAGTCTTAGAATCTCTAGCTCAGCTCTTTTGTGTGTTGATTGTTGTTTCCTTGAGTCTTCTTTTATAGCTCAGAGTGGACTGGATCCCCTTGTACTGGAATTGAAACACTCTCATTTGCTTTAAAACAATAAGAGAATCAGTGTGAAAGAAAGATGTTTTAAGGGGTTGGGGATTTAGCTCAGTGGTAGAGCGCTTACCTAGGAAGCACAAGGCAGGTCCTCAGCTCCAGCAGGGAGGGAGGAAGAAGATGTTTTGCCCCTAACAGGGACAATCTAGAAAGCATGATTTATGATGGTCTCAGAGTTTTGTTTTTTGTTTGTTTGTTTTTGTTTTGTTTTTTCCTCAAGATTGGGTTTCTCTGTATAATAACCCTGGCTGTCCTGAAACTCACTCTGTAGACCAGGCTGGCCTCAAACTCACAGACATCCACCTGCCTCTGCCTCCCGAGTGCTGGAATTAAAGGCATATATATACCACTGCTACCTGGCTAAGGTCTTAGAGTTCTAAGTATTATGGTACCATTCTGAGAATACACTACAGTAAGGAATACAACATTGAAAGTTAAAAACAAACAAACAGACAAAAAAAAAAAAAACCAGAAAACAAGAAACTGCACACTTTAAAGCAACAGAGGCACCAAGAAATGGCTGCAGGGTTTGACTGTGTCCCCCTACAATTCCCACTGTGAGTCCTACCCAGACAACTAACATACTCCGTTAATTCCAAGATGACTACCTCCACTGCTAAATTAGGGTATTTTATACTGGCTGGTCATATTTTGATTGGCAATCTTGTATCCGAAGTCTTAGAAAATAATGGTGTTCCCCTACTCCTAACCACATTGTTGTTCCCAGGTCTATCTCCCCTAGAAATTCCACAAGCACTCATGGTTGACATTTTCTTTATACTTTTGAGGTGAGGTGGTGTAGCTCAATGGTAGAGTTTATTGCTGACACTCTGGGTTCTAATGCTAGTTCTATAAGCCACGCCAAACAAAACCACAGGATCCGTCACATTTATCTAGTCCCAGACCACAACTACCAGAAACTATAGTTTCTCGAACTAGGGGAAATCGCAGGGCCTATATTCCTAGAGTGCAACCACTCTGCCAGGTAAGTACTCAAATCTCATTCTGAATATCACTGCTCTTTGTCAATAATTATTTCTTTCATCATCCGTGGGTCTGTGGAGTCTGTTTTCCCCAGGGATCAAGTTTCTGATAATAATTCCAACTGTTCAGAATTAGAAAGCAGCTCTGAGCCCAGGAACCAGCCCAGGAGCTGGGAACACTAAATGACAGTGTTGTTTCTGACCAAAATACCTGGGGTTCTGAGACTAGTTAAGTGGGCTACCTGACCCTCCTCTTCTACGGTAGATGTTCTGAAAGCTATGCAAACTACAGAGCCCACGGAAATAATCGAAAGTTCCTAAACACATTATGTATTTCTCATGCATGTACCAAGGAACCTTATGTATTCCAACGAAGATCTTCACTACAAGTGCGAGGAAGAGTTCGGGGCTGTTTTCAGCATTGTCTGTGGTCCTCACATAGAAATGCGGGGACCAATGCGTTTAGCTAGGACCAATTAAGATCCCTAGGTAGGACCTGGGGATACTGGAAGCGGTGAAGTTGGGGGCAGGGGGGTGCGTTCGAACCTTGGCACCTCCCCCCATCCACAGACAGAAGCTCTCGGACAAGACCCGGTTCTCTGCGTACTTGGGGGGCGACGTAACAGAGCCGGCGGGTCTGGATGCCCACAATGGCCTCGGAGGCGAGGGTCCCGGTCCCAGGTCTCTTACCGGCGGCGGCGGTGGCGGCGGCGGTGGCGGAGGTGGTGGCGGTGGCGGGTACAGGATTTTAATCGAGGTGCTGCTGTTCTCTTTGACCTGTTCTGTGACCTGTTCCTCCTCACTCTCTTTCTTCGTCCCTTGTTCCTCCTTGACTTCCTTCACTTTCCCATTCTTGTTTTTCACGTCCACATTTTTCTTTTTTTCTTCCTTCCCTTTCTCTTTCCCATTCCCTTGGGTTTTCACGTCCACACTCTTCCTTTTCTCCTCTTCCTTCCCCTTCCCTTTCCCGTTCTCTTTGATTTTCGCGTCCACACTCTTCCTTTTCTCCTCTCCCCTTCCTTTCCCGTTCTCTTTGGTTTTCATGTCCACACTCTTCCTTTTCTCCTCTTCCTTCCCTTTCTCTTTCCCATTGTCGCCTTTCTGCTCTACATCCTTCCTTTTCTCCTCTTCCTTCCCTGCCTCTTTCCCCTTCTTGCTTTTCACCTCTACAGACTTCCTCTTCTCCTCTTCCTTCCCTCTCTCTTTCCCCTTGTTTTTTACTTCCCCTTCTTTCCTTTTTTCCTTCTCTATCTTTACCGTTTCCCTACTGCTCGAAGAAGAAAAGCTTTCCTTCTCCCTCTTCGCCTTCCCCCTCTCCATCGCCACCACCACAGTTCTTCTCTCCCCGGCGCGCGAGCGCGCCGGAGCCGCGGCCCTGGATCCTGGCAGGTGTGGCCCTGGTGTGGGGCTCAAGGTGGAGACGTAGGTCCAGAAGGCGTAGGCCACACCCGCGGTCACAGGGTCGCAGACCGCGCGGGTGAGTACAGCTGTCGATCTGGCATTTTGCTTTACCTTGTCTGCCAAGAGCTGGCAGCTGATTCGCCATCGACTTTGAGGCTGAAGGAGTGACCGGTCAAAGAGGTAAAGGTGAGGATGCTAGCGCATGAATGGAGCCCATTCTAGGGGAACCTGGTGATCCTCGGCAGAGAACTGGGAGAAACAGGAGAGGTGGACTGCTTTTGCTAGAGGTCCATAGGCACCTCTTGTTCCAGAGGGCACAAAGGCACGATTTGGCAGGGTTGGAGAAATGGAGTTTCAGCTATCCAGCTTCAACTCCCGACTTGCTCTGCCAGTCTGTACCCCTAACTTAAGAATGTCTAAGGCACCAGAAGTCCTAGAAGACTCCCCTCCTTTCCCCAAAAAGCAGGTTACACATCTCTCTTCCCCAATCCCATGTGAATTCCATTGGAACAAAAGGCTGCTGTTCAGGATTCTCAGCCAAGGACAGAGATTTCGGGTCCTAGCCAGGGCAGTTATAGTAAGCTGGCATGTTTCTTTAGCTGAGGAACTCATGGTTCTTATTTTCTAGCTGGACTTGGGATATTTCACAATTTGCCAACGTTGGTTTTTAGGGATGGGGTGTAAGTGGTGATGGAGTGCTTGCTGAGCCAAGGCCCTGGGTTCCTGCTCAGTAATACCAGGACACAGGTGCTGGGTGCCTCCCTAGGGAAGCTGGGGCAGGACTGCTTGAGTTTAAGCCATAATGAAGCTACCCAGTTTTAATGCCAGGCTAGCATGTTGAGACCTTGCTCTTCCCCCACCACCTGGAAGAATTTAGTTTTTAAGTGAAATTGATTTTCTTTAATCAGATGTTTCAAATAAGCTGGTAAGGAATAGCAAGTTCCAGAAGGCTTGAGTGATGGGACAGTTAGTTGGTTAGCTATCTTCAGTTGTCTTGAAAATACTAGGCTAGAAGCTGGAGAGAGCTCAGTGATTAAGAGCACAGGCTGCTTTTCCAGAGGAACCGGGTTCTATTTCCAGCACCCTCATGGCAGCTCACAAGTGCATGCAATTCCAGTTGCAGGGGATCTGACACCCTCAGACATACATACAGGCCAAACACCAATGCACATAAAATAAGAATAAACAAATTATTTTTAAAAATGTTTAAAAATGTTAATAAATAAATAAAAAGAAAAGGCTACTAGGCTCAACACTTTACAAAAATGTTTGCTTCTGTTCTTTGATTCACATACCAATAGTATGGATTTTTAAAAAAGATTTATTGCTTTATGTTTATGGTTATTTTTCTTGCATGTTGTGCTTTTATATAACAAATGTAGCAGCTGGTGCTAATTTTAATTGCTGAGCTATCTCTCCAGCCTCTGAATGGCCATTTTTAAACAGAATTCTCTCAATCCCACCAGATTTTTAGTTTTGCTGGGAGGGTCAATAAGTAAATCCTCCATAAAATGCCACTTGAAACATCTTTATTCACACTCATTGCTAGAATTTATTTTAAAATGTGACCCAGAGAATGGATGTTTTCAATATTAGGTTTTTTTTTTTTTTTTTTTTTTTTTTTTGGTTTTGTTTTTTGAGTCAGGGTTTCTCTGTGTGACTGTCCTGGAATTCCCTTTGTAGACCAGGTTGGCCTCAAACTCACTGAGATCCGACTGCCTCTGACTCCCAAGAGGTGAGACTAAAGGCATGCCTATCACTGCTTGGCTCCATATTGGTTTTTATAAGTGTACACACACACACACACACACACACACACACACACACACACACCCAATAGTTACTGGAATGTTAATATAGGTGAAGTTTAGACTTAAACGACTTATTTGAAATGAGGTTTCTGTGACTTAGCAATGACAATACAAACTGCTGCTAATAATGCCAAGTATACTGTATATGTATTTCACCAAGGTGTCTTGGGTCAAAAATCTCAAAGTTCAGTAAATCTCATGAAGATTCTGTTGGTAAACTTGAGAAAATTACCTTTAACCATAGGAGATGTAATGGAACCCTAAATAACAATCACTCCTGTAATAGGATATTCAGTCTCATCAAGACTATTCTCTGGAGAGCAGTGTAAATGGTTCTTAGATGCCACTGAGGCAGCCCCCATTTGTAATCCCAGAGCAGGAAAGCCTTGTAAAGACTCATGGAAAAAGTTTCAATACATAATGCTCAAACACAGCAGCACTTTTATTAACAAGGGCAGAGTAATCTGATCACTAGGAAAGAGAAGTGTGAAATAAATGATAGCTCAGGTGACATAAATGAATATTAAACATGGGGAGACACCCCAGGTGTCCCAAAACAGTTTGAGTAGGAAAGTGGCCTGCTAGCAATGAAAGACAAGAGCAACATTTATATCACAAAGTGACTGCAAACCACATTACTTTGAAAAAAGTAATGGAAGGTCATGTCCCATAACCAGAAAAGGGCGCCATCTGAGCGCTAACTGGGGCAAATGCTCTTGTGAATTTCAATACCGCCTGGTACTGTTCCCTCTTAAAATAAAGAAGTCAGAGTTTATGCTCTTGATGGTGGCCATTAAGTGTTCTGATTAAGAAGCCCAAACCCATTTGCCCTCCGAACACTGGGTCTAAGCGTCAACTACTTGTAACAATGATGGTCTTCAGTGGAACTAAATCAGCATGTTAACATAATCTGAGAAAGAAAGTGACAAGGGTACAAAGTAGTCAGATGTGTCCACGTATACATACACGTGAAGGAGTCCCAATTCCAGCATTGCAGGACAGAGAATTATGGTGAAAGTTGTTCTGGCCACTCATTTACTAAGATCCCTTTTCATCACATGATAGTTCTAAACAAATACGTGGAATGCTCAGAAGGTACCACCTTTAGCCTCGTAAGACATAATTTAAGGTGAGACTTGAATAGGAACATATATCTTCACTAGTTGAAACAGGAGAAACACTTCCCATTTAAATGGTGGGAAACCTTAGATAACGTGCCTTACACTCAGTCATCTTCAGTCTTCCATAAAGCTATTTGGTACAAGTAGGCCAAATCTGATTAGGCAGTTTGAGGAGGACGTTTTCCCATCTGAAGTATAAGGAACCATTTTTGGACTATAGGGATGGAGGAGGGAGCTCTGTGCCTCTTGCTGTGTTACATTATGTTCCAAATGTCATTGACACGGGGTAAGAACAGCCTGCAATGAGTACACTGTCTTCACCAGCCACTTTTGCCTCCTTTCTTCTTCTTCTGTTGCTGTTTCTTTTTCGTTGCTGGGGCCCCTGCGGGTTTCTGGTGTCTTGGGGGCACAATGTTACTTGTAGAGGAAGATATCGTTGCTGCACTGCCAGGTCTTGGGGAGGTGGGTGGACTGCTCACAGTTTTACTGGCGTCCCTGAAAGGTTTTTAGACATTTAGAAATACAGGAAAAGGTATAAGCATGTATGTGCATGGATGTCACTTTTCACACCCAATAATTTCCCATGCACTATAAGGATGAGTGCACCATATCTGTGTCCACTCCTTTTGAATATTTTTAACCATCTCATAACTAAAGAAAATGTAATATATGGTATATGCCTAATTTGGTAAGTTTAGAAAATCAACTTTCAATAACATAATTCTATGTAGAAATAATTCACATTTTAAATTCTTCTTTCTAAATATTACCCATTTACCACACAGTTAAATGATTTATTATCTTTAGTTTCAGAACTAAATGTAATCACAGGCTGTTCTGTGGTTTGTAGTACTAGGGGTTAGACCCAGGACCTTACACATGCTAGGCATGGGTTCCATTCCTGGGTCATTTTCACGGCTCCTAGAATATTTAGTTTTTAGCAATACAATCACATAGTTTTAGTATTTGAAATAAAATCAAACAGTCTATTTTCTTTCTTTCACATACCACAAATACTTATTAAGGTGGTAGGACTGTATGTCTCATACCACATGATACTTGAGTCAACCTCCAAGATGAACTACATTCTGAGGGACCCTGTTCTGTAGCCACAACTTACAGTTCGGAGGAGGCTCCTGCAGTTGCTCCCTGTGTCCCTTTCCCAATCTGGTCCTTCTTTTTACCCTTCTTTCTTCCTCTATAATAAGAACGTTCTCGCATAGGTAGCCATCTTTCTGGATCCGGAGTAACTTTTGGGTCATAATTCTTAGGCAGTTTTCCTGGTAATGATTGGTAAATGAGAAATACACCTTGAATAGTTTCAAGTTTGTTTTGTTTAAAGAATGTATTCATGACTTGGAATAAATAACACAACTGAAATTTGTCTGAGAAAGCCTTTTTGTTTGTCTTGTTTTTGATTTGACTCTGTAGCCCTGGCTGACCTTGAACTCACAAAGACTTGCCTCCCTAGTGCTAGAATTAAAGGCTTGAGCCACACTTTCCAGATATAACTTTATAAAAATGATACATTTTTATCTAATAACATGATACATTTTAAAGAAAAAAATGAGGCATTAATATAGGCATTAATATAGCATGGACTACTGAAACCATGTCTACATACTAGGTAAGAGTAAGCTGATAGTCAAGTACTAGGGCAAGAAATAAAGAATAAACGAGACTTTTGAAGAAAATGGACTAATGTAAATATTAGTTTGTATAATTCCTGTGAACTCCACTAAAATAGCAATAATACACATTTAAAACTTGGGAAACATATGGATCTTAGGTAATTCATTTAACTAGGGTTCGAAAAATCTATCTCAAACTACAGAAATCTGAATGTATTTTTTCCTTAAAGCTTACCTTTCTTTTTTTTCTTCTTTTTTTTCAAATCTCCTTGTCTAAAAAGAAATCAAGAATCATTCATCTGTGATAAAACATAGCTCATTACATATGCACAAAAGAATAAGCTGGGTATGTTTACATAAATATGTATATAAGACTTGGTACCAGCTTATAAACTCAACAAATTAGCTGGAATATTAATTCAAGTTCAATCACAGTGCAAACTTTTCTCTTAAGAAAAAAAAATCACTTATGATTATATGTGCACTGTGTGTG